TTTTACTCAAATTCATAGTGGATTCCAGTTTGCTGATGTATTCAGGCCTTGTTCTTAAAGGTCATCATCAATTTCCCTTTCCCTTCTAACACGATGAGTCATTTTCTTAATTTTTATTTTTATTGGTATTGTTAGTTGTTTTTGTTTCTATAGGGGAGTTGCTAGGTACCTTCATATGGCGGCACTCCCGACCTTGGGGAAATTCCATTGTGACGTCTAAGACACGTTTTTCTGAAGTGTGTGACTTGTGAAATTTAAATAATAAAAATTGGTGGGTATAGTAGAATGATCAAATGAGCCCTTTTTTGCCTTGTAGCATAAGTGAACATCAAAAATTTTCTTTAATACAATTTGAACTTCTTGCATTTAGAGGACATCAAGGGTTTTTTTGTTGTTGTAAATACCACGAGGTGTCCCCACACTCGAAGGGTGGGATTAATCCAATCTATGCAAGTTTGGGCCTTGAGTTCGAAATTAGGCTCATGACTTGTCGTTTCAAAGAGGACAGCGAGACGAGTGCAACTCACCACTTTGTTGTAACATATGGGCTTTTTTTACCCAAATTCCATTGCATGCTTTGATTTTTTAGCAATTCAAAGTTTTTTTGGATATTATTGGGAATTTTTGTATTTTCCCTTCTTTCTTTTTTTCCAATTATGATTTCCTAGTGTAGGGTTGCCTATGTATAAAAGGGACCCATTAGTGTGTCTCTAGATTATTATTCATTCAATAAATCTTCAAGTTTTACTCAAATTCGTAGTGGATTCTAGTTTGCTGATATATTCAGGCCTTGTTCTTAAAGGTCATCGTCAATTTCCCTTTCCCTTCTAACACAATGAGTCATTTTCTTAATTTTTATTCTTATTGGTATTGTTAGTTGTTTTTGTTTCTATAGGGGAGTTGCTAGGTACCTTCATATGGCGGCACTCCCGACCTTGGGGAAATTCCATTGTGACGCCTAAGACACGTTTTTTTTGAAGTGTGTGACTTGTGAAATTTAAATAATAAAAATTGGTGGGTGGAGTAGAATGATCAAATGAGCCCTATTTTTCCTTGTAGCATAAGTGAACATCAAAAAATTTCTTTATTGAAATTTGAACTTCTTGCATTTAGAGGACATCAAGGGTTTTTTTTTTTGGTTATAAATACCACGAGGTGTCCCCACAATCGAAGAGTGGGATTAATCCAATCTATGCAAGTTTGGGCCTTGAGTTCAAAATTAGGCTCATGATCTGTCATTTCAGAGAGGACTGGCTAGACGAGTGCAACTCACCACTTTGTTGTGACATATGGCCTTTTTTTAGCCAAGTAACATTGTTTGCTTTGACTTTTTAGCAATTTGAAGTTTTTTGGATATTATCGGGAATTTTTGTATTTTTCCTTCTCTCTTTTTTGTTTTTTGTTTTTTTTTCCAATTATGATTTCCTAGTGTGCCTAGGGTTGCCTATGTATAAAAGGGACCCATTAGTGTGTCTCTGGATTATTATTCATTCAATAAATCTTCAAGTTTTACTCAAATTCGTAGTGGATTCCAGTTTGCTGATGTATTTAGGCCTTGTTCTTAAAGGTCACCATCAATTTCCCTTTCCCTTCTAACACGATGAGTCATTTTCTTAATTTTTATTTTTATTGGTATTGTTAGTTGTTTTTGTTTCTATAGGGGAGTTGCTAGGTACCTTCATATGGCGGCACTCCCGACCTTGGGGAAATTCCATTGTGACGTCTAAGACACGTTTTTCTAAAGTGTGTGACTTGTGAAATTTAAATAATAAAAATTGGTGGGTGTAGTAGAATGATCAAATGAGCCCTTTTTTGCCTTGTAGCATAAGTGAACATCAAAAAATTTCTTTATTGAAATTTGAACTTCTTGCATTTAGAGGACATAAAGGGTTTTTTTGTTGTTGTAAATACCACAAGGTGTCCCCAAACCCGAAGGGTGGGATTAATCCAATCTATGCAAGTTTGGGCCTTGAGTTCGAAATTAGGCTCATGACCTGTCGTTTCAAAGAGAACGGCGAGACGAGTGCAACTCACCACTTTGTTGTAACATATGGGCTTTTTTTACCCAAATTCCATTGCATGATTTGATTTTTTAGCAATTTGAAGTTTTTTTGGATATTATTGGTAATTTTTGTATTTTCCCTTCTTTCTTTTTTTCCAATTATGATTTCCTAGTGTGCCTAGGGTTGCCTATGTATAAAAGGGACCCATTAGTGTGTCTCTAGATTATTATTCATTCCATAAATCTTCAAGTTTTACTCAAATTCATAGTGGATTCCAATTTGCTGATGTATTCAGGCCTTGTTCTTAAAGGTCATCGTCAATTTCCCTTTCCCTTCTAACACGATGAGTCATTTTCTTAATTTTTATTTTTATTGGTATTGTTAGTTGTTTTTGTTTCTATAGGAGAGTTGCTAGGTACCTTCATATGGTGGCACTCCTGACCTTGGGGAAATTCCATTGTGACGTCTAAGACACGTTTTTTTTAAAGTGTGTGACTTGTGAAATTTAAATAATAAAAATTGGTGGGTAGAGTAGAATCATCAAATGAGCCCTTTTTTTCCTTGTAGCATAAGTGAGCATCAAAAATTTTCTTATTGAAATTTGAACTTCTTGCATTTAGAGGACATCAAGGGTTTTTTTTGTTGCTGTAAATACCACGAGGTGTCCCCACACCCGAAGAGTGGAATTAATCCAATCTATGCAAGTTTGGGCCTTGAGTTCGAAATTAGGCTCATGACCTGTCGTTTCAAAGAGGACAGCAAGACGAGTGCAACTCACCACTTTGTTGTGACATATGGCCTTTTTTTAGCCAAGTAACATTGTTTGCTTTGAATTTTTAGCAATTTGAATTTTTTTGGATATTATTGGGATTTTTTGTATTTTCCCTTCTTTCTTTTTTTCCAATTATGATTTCCTAGTGTGCCTAGGGTTGCCTATGTATAAAAGGGACCCATTAGTGTGTCTCTAGATTATTATTCATTCCATAAATCTTTAAGTTTTACTCAAATTCATAGTGGATTCCAATTTGCTGATGTATTCAGGCCTTGTTCTTAAAGGTCATCGTCAATTTCCCTTTCCCTTCTAACACGATGAGTCATTTTCTTAATTTTTATTCTTATTGGTATTGTTAGTTGTTTTTGTTTCTATAGGAGAGTTGCTAGGTACCTTCATATGGTGGCACTCCTGACCTTGGGGAAATTCCATTGTGACGTCTAAGACATGTTTTTCTGAAGTGTGTGACTTGTGAAATTTAAATAATAAAAATTGGTGGGTGTAGTAGAATGATCAAATGAGCCCTTTTTTGCCTTGTAGCATAAGTGAACATCAAAAAATTTCTTTATTGAAATTTGAACTTCTTGCATTTAGAGGACATCAAGGGTTTTTTTTGTTGCTGTAAATACCACGAGGTGTCCCCACACCCGAAGAGTGGAATTAATCCAATCTATGCAAGTTTGGGCCTTGAGTTCGAAATTAGGCTCATGACCTGTCGTTTCAAAGAGGACAGCAAGACGAGTGCAACTCACCACTTTGTTGTGACATATGGCCTTTTTTTAGCCAAGTAACATTGTTTGCTTTGAATTTTTAGCAATTTGAATTTTTTTGGATATTATTGGGATTTTTTGTATTTTCCCTTCTTTCTTTTTTTCCAATTATGATTTCCTAGTGTGCCTAGGGTTGCCTATGTATAAAAGGGACCCATTAGTGTGTCTCTAGATTATCATTCATTCAATAAATCTTCAAGTTTTACTCAAATTCGTAGTGGATTCCAGTTTGCTGATGTATTCAGGCCTTGTTCTTAAAGGTCATCATCAATTTCCCTTTCCCTTCTAACACGATGAGTCATTTTCTTAATTTTTATTCTTATTGGTATTGTTAGTTGTTTTTGTTTCTATAGGGGAGTTGCTAGGTACCTTCATATGGCGGCAATCCCGACCTTGGGGAAATTCCATTGTGACGTCTAAGACATGTTTTTCTGAAGTGTGTGACTTGTGAAATTTAAATAATAAAAATTGGTTGGTAGAGTAGAATGATCAAATGAGCCCTTTTTTTCCTTGTAGCATAAGTGAACATCAAAAACTTTCTTTATTGAAATTTGAACTTCTTGCATTTAGAGGACATCAAGGGTTTTTTTGTTGTTGTAAATACCACGAGCTGTCCCCACACCCGAAGGGTGGGATTAATCCAATCTATGCAAGTTTGGGCCTTGAGTTCGAAATTAGGCTCATGACCTGTCGTTTCAAAGAGGAAGGCGAGACGAGTGCAACTCACCACTTTGTTGTGACATATGGCCTTTTTTTACCCAAATTCCATTGTATGCTTTGATTTTTTAGCAATTTGAAGTTTTTTTGATGTTATTGGGAATTTTTGCTTTTTCCCTTCTTTCTTTTTTTCCAATTATGATTTCCTAGTGTGCCTAGGGTTGCCTATGTATAAAAAGGACCCATTAGTGTGTCTCTGGATTATTATTCATTCAATAAATCTTCAAGTTTTACTCAAATTCATAGTGGATTTCAGTTTGCTGATGTATTCAGGCCTTGTTCTTAAAGGTCATCGTCAATTTCCCTTTCCCTTCTAACACGATGAGTCATCACTACTACAATATCCTTAAACCAAGACCCCAAATAAAAGACGGTGCATGTTCGGTTCATTTTTACACATGATTTTTCATGTTATTCACCCACTATTTTGAGTTAGTTCTTGACATTTTATAGCTTTTTACTTCCTTTTTGTGTTTTCTTAGATTTTACCTTGGTTGGGATGAAAATGAGCTAAAAGTGCATTATTAGTTATAAATTCTGTTTTTGTTCATTTTCGTAGGTCAACTTCTTGGCCTGGGATCAACATGCTCTGGTGCTCGGATGAGGTCATGATCTTCATGAGACTTGTTC